TATATATAATTTATATAAATTATATATAATTTATATATATATAATTATATATATTTATGAATGAATTAGATTAATTATGAATAGTATATGTCCATTTTAGTGTCAAACTCAAATAATTCTAAAAGTAGATTCAGAATCGGAAAATTTATATTCTCAAGTAAAAGAAATTGCGGAGCAATATTTAAGAGATGAAAATCGATTGATAAATATTCGACAATATTTAGAAATAATACGCGATACGAAATTTGAATTAAATGATGAAGACGTTATAAAGGTAATTAATATTGTTTCTTTTAGAAATTATCCATATTTTGAATATTTCATTATACATACATAAAAAAATATATATTTGATATGCGTCTTTGTTTTTCATTAGGAAATTCAAAATGATTTCGTACAATGGAAACAAATAAACAAAAATGTTGATAATTTACACTCATTAATGGTATTGTCTAGATTACTATCTTTATCATATGGATCAAATACCTTAACTATAGAATATTGGAAAAAAGCAGTTCAAATGGAAATAGAAAGATTAAATAGATTACCAGAAAAAAAATAAATTTAATTCAATTGAAAATTAAAAAATTATATTATAATCCTAGATTATTTTTTTATATATTAATATATTAATAAAAAATTTTTTACTAAAAATTTTATTATTTAATAATATAATTAATAATAATTTCAGCCTAATAATTTATCATCATTAACTATCAATCATGAATCATCTTGAATTATGTAAACTATTTGCTAATACATATCTAAAAAATAATATTAGAATGTATATTATAAAAATTAATATTTATATATATATTATTAATTTACGTATTTGCTAAATTCCATTTTGCTTTATTCACTATATACTATGTATATTTAAGATAATATTTCCTTCTCTGGAAAATGGAAATAGCATTATTTTTATTTTCATAGTTGATTCTTAAAAAATATTGTCAATTTCGAAATATTTTCAAGAATTTTTCGATTAATTATTTATATTATTAAAATGTCGATTTGTCTTTGTTTTGATATTAAACATTATTATAATTAATATATTATAATTATCAAGGAAAGATTAGAAGTCACTTATTTCATGTAAAATGTTAATAAGAATATTATGAAAGATATAGTATATATGATTTATTCTTTACTATAAGAAAGAAAAGAAAAAAAGAAACCAAGATAAAAGCTGTTGATAATTTTATTTGGATATTTATCCCTTATCGGCAGCGTGAAATTGATTAAAAATTGAAATTAGAAACATAAATTATATCTAATGGAATAATTCTAGTCAAGTAGAGATTATTATTAAAAAAGATTGTTAATTTATGCATATATTAAATATTATTCTATTAAGGAAAAATTGAAATTCGAGACATATTAAATATTATTCTGTTAAGGAAAAATTGAAATTCGAGAAATTTCAGTGGAGATCAGATCCGATCTCGTTAGGTCAGTTTAAACGAGTCACATTTAAAACTTTTTCTACACTATTAGCATCCGTTAATTTACCAACTCTTTGTTCACGTTCCTTTCGTACTAATTCCAATCCTTTTTTGGCAGCTTGTGCATATCTTTTCGAAAGCGCAACTTCTCCTTTGACACCCGGAATATGGCCAGTATAACCTACGATTGGTGGTCTTTCAGGAGAAATTTCATAATCTGTAAACAATATTAAGTTTAATTAAATTCTTTGCTATTTGCTTAATTTTTTATTATTTATTAAATTCATTGGAAATTGCAAAAACATAATCGTATAATATAATATTACAAATAATACATACGAAACGTAGTTAGTCGATTTTTATCATTATCGCGATCAGTTAGAACATTTATATCAGCTCGAGTTTGTAATAAAAGATTTCTAGAGATAGTGTTTCTCTCTGTAGTTTGTGTAAGATCTCTACGAGCTTTCAATTTAATTTGATTTTCACGCCATTCTCTAGTACCTTCTTCCACTGCTCGCATAAAAGATAGACCATATCTAGTATTAAAACCAGGAATATACCCTACAATGAAATGATTAAATATTTTAATTAATTTACTTTCAATATATATATATATAAATAAATTATACAATTTCTTAATTTCAGTATTAATTTTAACTCAAGATCAAATCTATATCTATTTACCAGTATATCCTAAAATGTATGGAGGAGGAGGTTTTAAGAGATGCCTCTCATTTTTCCAATCCGTGTTTGTATCTTTTTCACAAAGAATCGTCGTGTTTTCGCGCATATCCTTTTCACAATTGGGTCTGTAAGGTCCTGTCTTGAGAATTTTCTTTTCAAGTAATTCCTGTATGATGCAATATGCTCATGGAAGTTTTGATTAATTTTACAAGTGAATAATTTCCACCATTATTTTTTGTATTTTTTTCTTGATTTTTGTTTTCTTTTCTCAATGCGAAATCGAATCGTTAATATTTGCATACTCTTACCTTCATAATTTCTTGAGTGCATGCTCCAAATCGTTTTCCAACTCGAAATCTAAGAGTGGGACAGTGTCCTGTATAACTGAAAAAAATAAAATAGAATTATTAAATGAAACAACCGCGTGATTTCCATTGATCCGAAATTGTAGATAAAATAATTGTAATAGAATTATAGAAAAAACGATATCGATCAACTAATGAATAAAAATATTATTCAGTGAAAAAAACTCAGCCGATTAAACGTAATAGTTTAACTTTTCGCGCTTATTCATTAAGCGCGCATGCGCATATGTTCCATTGAAAACAGATTCAGAGTAAAATTTTGTTCTATCGAACAAACATTACAAAAAACAAAGTAGTTTAGATATTTTTAATTAAATTTTTCAATTAATTCTCTTCTTTTTAAAATGTATTAATATTTTTAGATCAAATAATTTAACAACTATTTTTTTCTTACTTATATATTGTTTTTTTAATGACTTCTTTCATTTAACAATTTATGAATGTAATGAATATATAATGAAATTAAATATAAATATATAATGAATATATAATATGAATATAAATTGAATTAATTTTTATTCATTTTAAATTTCTGAATGAAAGTTTTTCTTTGAATCGATCAATAGATATGTAAAATATGCAAATTAATCGGAACTTATATGGATAAGTTAAACAGTGCAGTAGGCGACAGAAAGAAGAAATGCAAAACGAAAGTTTACTATAGTTAACAATAACTTGACTATATGACTCAACTTGTTTAAAAAATAGTTTCGCGCGCAGATCTATTGATCATATTTCACATTACACATTAAATATTTAATTCTATCAAATACGAGAATTACTTATGCATATCGATTTATTCGTTTGAGTTGACTATCAAATTTTTATGACATTAATATCGAAATATTTCACAAGATCTTTTTTCTTTTTTATTATCCAATATTGTATCATGGTTTTATTATGGAAATTATCGTTAAAATCGATACACGGATAAAAGTGTAATAGTATACTTATTATTAATTATTAATCACACACATATATATATGATAAAAAAAGATGCGCTCAAGGTTTTTACATGTTAAACTATTTAATTACCTACCGTGTATTCGATTCGATTATTCCAAACAAAACTAAACTCACATTCGATTTTTTTCCCGACATCCGTTCCTCTAGTCTCTTATCTAGGCATCTGATTATTAACAACAATTGAAAAACCGTTCCAACATGGTACTTCAAAAATCAATCTCTCTAGACCTTAAAAGCCCGTGCTAGCCCGTGTATTGTGTGCACGTATTGTATTCGCTTACGTTACGCAATCAAAAATAAACGGTGCTACTAGAAAATATTTAGCGTTAACAATCAACGTTGCAAATTCAATTAATACTGTTCAATACCAATGCAAGTGTTTGCCGCACAGTAAGAAATTTGAACCTATCTCGGTTCGCGAACAAGATGAAAAAAAAAAAAAAAAAACGATTAA